GCGCTCAGCAACCCCATTCTGCTGTGGGGAGTCCGGAAGCGTGAAGGTCTGCTCGATGCCCTCCGCCTGACAGAAGGTCCTCAAGAGATCGGAGGAAAACTCACCACCTCTGTCAGAGTGCAGACGCAGGACAGGAAGATCCGTCCGAAAACGGCGGCGGAGCTGGAGACGAACCGTGCGGATCCAAGGGATCAGAACAGCAGGGACCTCACCCTTGGTGCGCAAGGGGAAGACCGTGGTGTAACGCGAGTAGTCGTCGACAACCAGCAAAAAGTACCGCTCACCGCCCTGACCACGAACGCGGGCTGGGCCCCACACGTCCAGGTGGAGGGTCTGCAGAGGAGCCTCTGTCGGGGGGAACGAGGAGGAGTGAGGAGCGGCGCGCTGCCGCCCCTCGACGCAAGGAAGGCAAGGCGGCGCAGGCGAGGCAGGGAGGGGAGGGAGGGACCTGGGAAGACCGGACACAAGGTGGCGACGGTGCATGCCACGAAGGCGTGGCAAGGAGGGGTGACCCAGGCGGTGGTGCCAGAGAAGAGTCTGGTGCGACAGGGAACGACACTCACAGGCGTGGGCTACCAGACCTGACGCAGACACCTGACCGACAGCAGCTACCTGAGGAGACGCAGTGGTCAGTGTGTAGAGACTCGACCCCGGCCGACGGGTAAACGTAGCCAGGTGACGGCCGGTCCTGGAGCACGTGCAGATCGCCACACGCTGTCCGCCAGGGGTAAAGGTGTCAACCCACTGATCCTGGAGGACAGCGTTGCTCACCAGGTTCGTCGAGAACGAGGGGAGGTGGAAACCCGACAACGAGCCAGACGGAACCGCCGGACAAGGGAGGACAGTGGTGGACTGGGCAAGGACTGGGCCCCCAGAGGGGTCAGCCAAGGAGACTGGGACCGGTGCAGGAAGCGGTGTGAGCTCAGTACTGTCACGGAAGAAGCAACGGGAAGCACCTGAGTCAAGGGTGAAGGTGTGACAGGCCTCAGCCGGTGCGGTACCTGAGAGAGCAGTCTCTGTGGGTGCTGTACCTGAGAGAGCAGACTCGAAACCAGCCGGGACAGCACTGGGGGGAGCAAGTACAGGGGGCACCATACCAGAGAGAGCAGACTCACTAGTACCCAGGGCAGCGGGCTCTATACCTGGGTCAGGCGGCACACACAAGTAACAGTCTCCCTCGGCACTAACAGTCAATGCATACATGGCAGCAATAATAGCATCATAGTCAAGAGCAAAGACATCAACACCAGCCCTCATGAGCTCAGCCCAGCGGGGGCGCTCAACATCCGCACCCATCTCCTCACGCCAAGCGTCGTCAAGGCGGGAGAAGCAGCGGTACGGGGTGTGGAACCTCCCACACGTCTGTCCCTTGCGGTCACCTGTGCGAATGACATAAGAACAGCGGCCACTGGCCCCCGACGTCCCACGCTGAGCAAGCCACTCACGAAGCTGCTGGGTCGTCTGGGGACGCTGCTGCTGCTGGGAGCTCTGGCCCGAGCCAGTGCCTCCACTCCGACCTCCGCCGCCACCACTACCACCGCTCCGACCGCCACCGCCACCACCGCCACCACCGCCACCGCCGCCACCGCCGCCGCCGCCACTACTGCCACTGCTTCCTCCGCCGCCCCCGCCTCCACCACCGACCCCACTCCCACCAGCGCTCCCGCCACCGCTCCCTCCAGCACCGCCTCCCCCCCCACCTCCCCCACCTCCTCCCCCCCCAGCGCCACCACCACCACTTTTGCCCCCCTTGCCCTTGCCGGTGCGGCGCCTCCCACCAGGAGTAGAAGCAGCGCCAACAGACTCAGCACCAAGGAAGTCAACAGCAGCAGCAGCAGCGTAGGAGGGAGCGAGGGGAGAGGGAGAACACCCCTCAAAGATGGGGGTGCGAGGAGCGCCACGAGCAGCACCGACAGCTACAATGCTCTTTTCGGCCGCGAGCAGCTGCTCCTCTAGGAGGGCGACTGTGAGCTCAGTGGGACAGCGAGCAAGGAAGTGGTCTCGAACTGAGCGGAGGGTGTCAGGGAGACGGGTGACTATGAAGTGGAGTGTCCAGTACAGTGGAGGGGGGTTCTTAGCGCAGAACTCGGTGGGAAGGGCGGCACGCAGGCGAGCATCACTAGTGCGAAGGTGGGTGATAAGATCGGCGACTGTAGCAAAGGTGGACAGCTCAGGGAACAGGTACGGCAGCATGAGGCGGCTAAGCTCGGCTGTGGCAGGCGAGGAGTAGCGAGCGACGACAGCATCATACAGGGCCTTAGCGGATTTGCAGTCGCCAAAATGCTCGAGCTCAGCTAGCGGGAGGTGACTGCGAATGGCTAGGCGAGCAGCTGCGTCACGAGTCTGCCAGTGGGAACGAACACTAAGCTCGGCTGTGGCAGCAGGAGCAGCGGCAGCACCAGACGCGTAGTCATAGAGGGAGATGTGGTCCGTGCTATTGCTCATAAGATACAACTGCAGGTCGTCGAGCCAGGAAGTGAACTGCACGGGACGGCCCTCAGCATCGAAGGAAAGAACGCGAATAGAGGCCATAGCTCAGGCGTGAGGGCACAGCAGAGCAGCGGCAGCAGCAGAGGGGACGCGCTAGAGCGAAGCTAGTAGCCACAGCAGGAGAAAGCGGCAGTGCACAGGCAGGGAGCAGCAGGTGAGAAGCGCGGCGGGCGAGCTGCGAAGCGGGCAGCGGTGTGGGCGGGCGACGCAGCAAGCGGGCAGTGAGGCGGCGCTGCGAGCGGGCAGCGAAGCGGGCGGGCCGCGAAGCGGGCAGCTAGCGGGCGGGCGGGCTGCGAAGTGGGCGGGCTGCGAAGCGGGCAGCGGGGCGAGCGGGCTGCGAGGCGGGCGGGCCGCGAAGCGGGCAGCGGGCGGGCGGGCGGGCTGCGAAGCGGGCAGCGGGGCGAGCGGGCTGCGAAGCGGGCGGGCCGCGAAGCGGGCAGCTAGCGGGCGGGCGGGCTGCGAAGTGGGCGGGCCGCGAAGCGGGCAGCGGGGCGAGCGGGCTGCGAGGCGGGCGGGCCGCGAAGCGGGCAGCGAGCGGGCGGGCGGGCTGCGAAGTGGGCGGGCCGCGAAGCGGGCAGCGAGCGAGCGGGCTGCGAAGCGGGCGGGCCGCGAAGCGGGCAGCGAGCGGGCGGGCGGGCCGCGAAGCGGGCAGCGAGCGGGCGAGCGGGCTGCGAAGCGGGCGGGCCGCGAAGCGGGCAGCGAGCGAGCGGGCTGCGAAGCGGGCGGGCCGCGAAGCGGGCAGCGAGCGGGCGGGCGGGCTGCGAAGCGGGCGGGCCGCGAAGCGGGCAGCGAGCGGGCGGGCGGGCTGCGAGCGGGCGGCTCGGCGAGGGGCGCGCGAGGGCGCTAGTGAGGGGCGCGCGAGGGCGCTAGCAAGGGGCGCGCGAGGGCGCTAACGAAGGGGCGCGCGAGGGCGCTAACGAGGGTGCGCGCGAGGGCGCTAACGAGGGGCGCGCGAGGGCGCTAACGAGGGCGCACGAGGGCGCTACGAGGCTAGGGCACGGGGTAGCGTGGTAACCGCATGCGAGCGGTGGTGGGCCCTTAAAAAAAAAACGGTCGGTAGGTCCTAGGGACCTCCTGCTCTGAATACCATTTCAGAATAACTAGGCAAGAATGAATGAACTAACAGAAGTTTGGGTACAAATATGAAACCCTAGTTGGGGTTGTACCCCATATTGGCTACCCCACTACAGCCTACAAGCATAATACAGTTTAACACAGGGTAATCAGGGTGTTTTACCCTGATATTTTAAGCCCTGATCGTGAACAACCACGCCTGAACGGTAGGACCACTCCGTTGACTCGGGTCGAAGCATGGCGAACGCTGCGGTTTCAGCGGCATCGGCGACTGCAGTGTAGATTCGCCGATCGGCACCAAAATTGTGACATGAGGCTGGCTTCTGGCCGCATTCGTTGCTTCTGGGTGTGTCGTGCCGTGGTCGTCGTCTCCGTCGTGGCGAACGACGCCATCACTAGCCGCGCTCGCGGGTCGCCCCACACTTCCGTGTTGCGATGTCGGTGGTGCATGTTGTCCCGGAGTGCCAGGTGCTTGTGATTGTGCTTGCTGTGCTCGTACGACGTCATTCTGCAGGGAGTGTCGTTCTGCCGTCAGCGCCGCAATCTCTTCGGAGCTTTCGTGCAGCTGCTGTAGCAATTCGTTCAGACTTTCCTGCGTGAGGGTGGTGACGTCAATGTGTTCAGCCATGGCGAAGGGCGTCGGCTCGGCTTAGTCTAGGCGCAGTCGTGGCTGCACGCGTTTACGAGAGAACGCGAGGACAGCGGCTCCTAGGGGCTAAGGTGCGTGAGTCCCTTCGAGTGAAAAATCAAAAGTTGAGTTTCTGGGGTGCGGAAATGCGCGGTCCGAAAAGGAACGTAGCTTTGAGACCAAGTGTTACGGGTGCAATGGATCGAGGTAGCGAGGATTGCACCAAGGTGTTCAACGAGTACAAAATGTGAGCGAAGGCATGAGCGAACATTTATACGCGAAACATGCAAACGGTAACGCGGTGCGTGCGAGCTAGCTAGTGCTACGCTGGCAGCGAGGCTCGGGCTAGTCCCGAAGCGTAGGCCGCTACGGCCGGACCAGCGGTGCATGGTTTGGAGAAAACAGTGCGCGCGAAGTTGGCGAAGCCCTGTTAGCAGTAACGGGCGAACAACGGCTGCTGCTGTACGCGATGGTGCAGGTCGCAATAAGGAATGCCGAGAAAATTCCTTACATCTACCCTAGGGTGTTATGTCCGGGAGAATACGGTAAGCTCCTGTATTCGGTGGTTGGCACGAGGTAGGAACGTACTCCACATGACTGCTGCTGTGCTGGCTGAGCTTGTGGAGCTCTGTTTGTGGTTCTCATTTGTGGCTTATGATAGCAACAGCTGCTGCTTGTGTCTATCCACTTTCCCTTAACCAATCGAATATGACGAATCAGACAAGTCAAGTCTGCACTGCAATGAATCGAAGGCCCTGGCTGGCGCGCACAGCTCAACAAACACCCTATATGGTGTCCAGACTAGTCACTAGAACGACGCCCCCTGCAGCATGGCAGTGAGGCTACGTGCGCTGGCCTCCTCACTCCACTCCAAGCTACGCCGCCTCGCCGCCAGCCCCACCTGCGCCAGATGCTGTCTGTCCCGCAGCAACGCCAGGATGCTCTCTGCGACAGCTGGCAGGGCGGCAGAGAGGTCCACTGGCAGTGAAAGCTGCTCTTCGGGCGGCAGGAGCTCGGCTGCTCCCACGGCGCCGCCCGGGCCGACGTGGATGACGGAAGGTGCAGCGAAGGCTGCTGCCTCGACGACCGTCATGCCGTATGCGTCGTACTGGCAGGGGTGGATGTTGAGCAGCGTCTAGATGTTGAGGGGGAGCAGGGGAGGGAGGGGGGAGGGGAGATGGGAGATGGGGAGAGGTGGAGAGGGGGAGATGGGGAGAGGGGACATGCGAATATGACCGTCACGCCGTATGTGTTGTACAAGCAGGGGTGGATGGTGAGCAGTGTCTGGGGGGGGGGAAGGCGGGAGATGGAGAGGGGGAGGGGGAAACGGGGAGTGTGGGTGTGTAGGGAAGGGGGTTTGGCAAGTAGTAAAGGGGAGAGGGATTCATAGCTTTGCTGAGGCATGGCACGCGAGAGGCACAAGCGAATAGTGGCGAGAGGCCATGGAAAGGGGGGAAGCAGGAAGATTGGACAGGGGAACTGGTGTGAGCGTAGGAAAGGTGAGACACCACTGCCATGCTTGTAGGTACGCCCAGGGAAATGGAAGCATGGCAACACAATCATGGATATTTCGGCAATGACAAGGTCGCCCATGGGTGCTACCTGCGAGTACAGCTGGCCCATCCTGTGGGCCTCCATGAACCCATTCACCACCACGGCACCTTGTGCAGGTAACTTTGCGGCGATTGACGCATGGGAGCAGACGACAATAAGGGCACGCATTGCTCTTACCTGGGAGTACACCTGGGCCATCCTGTCAGGCCCCATGAACCCATCCCCCACCACGGTGCCCGGTGCAGCAGCCATCACCTCAAGGGCAGCCATCCCATGGTCAGACAGTGACAAGGGCGCGCATTGCTCTTACCTGCGAGTACACCTGCGCCATCCTGTCGGGCCCCATGAAGCCATCCACCACCACGGCAGCCGGTGCAGCGGCCAGCACCTCTTGCAGCACGGCCTCCCCGAAGGCACCGCGTGTGGCGGCAGTGCCGGCGCACAGCAGCGGTGTGACGCCCAGCGCTGGCAGGTGTGGAGCCAGCAGGCGCAGCAAGGGCGGCAGCAGCGCGGCGTTCTTCTCGGGGGAGAGGCGCACACAGCACACCAGGTAGAGGCGATCTGATGGCCATGAGCCCGCGCTCACTGCGGCGGTGCAGAGGTGGGGTGAGTGAGCGGTGCAGAGGTGGGGTGAGTGAGCGGTGCAGAGGTGGGGTGAGTGAGCGGTGCAGAGGGCGATAAGGGAGCAGATGGAGTGAGAGAAGGGTCGGCAGGTCGCAGAGCACCACAGGGTTGGCAGCAGAGCACAGGAGCAGCAGTGGACGAGAGACTTGGAAAGGGCTGGAAGGCAAGAGCAGCTTTGGGGGAACATAGATCATGGAGCGAAGCACGATTGCTGCAGTGTTGAAAAGAGCAGGGCACACGAATAGCCTCAGGTTGTGTGCGTGGAAAATCCCTCTTGACCTGCTGTGTACCGCTTGCGTGCCCCCCTGGCATCATGCGTCTTGGGCAGAGGGGTGCAGCCCTTCAGTCACCATATCCTACTGACAACGTGCAACAGAGCTTTAGCCCGCACACACTTGCTCATTGACTCACTCTCTCGCCCCACCGCCAGCACTCACTCTCTCGCCCCACCGCCAGCACGCGAATGTCTTCTCGGAGGGGCGGCAGCAGTGCGTGTGGCTCCACCCCTGCCTTGCGCCCCGCGCCCAGACTCTCCGCCAGGTACCGCGCATCCCTGGGGGGGGCAAGGAGGGCGGGACGGATGTGGACAGGGGAGGGGGGGGACGGATGTGGAAAGGGGAGGGGGATGGGGGGGATGTGGAAAGGAAAGAAGGGGGGCGGATGTGGAAAGGGGAGGGGGGGGCGGATGTGGAAAGGGGAGGGGGGGGGGGGCGGATGTGGAAAGGAAAGAAGGGGGGCGGATGTGGAAAGGGGAGCAGGGGGGCGGATGTGGAAAGGGGAGCAGGGCTTGAACGTGCTTCAGCTGATGCCTTGCGCCCCGCGCCCATGTCTGGCTGGCTGCCAGGTACCTGTGCATCCCTGAGACACAAAGGGGGGGGGCGACGAGAGGGAAGGGGGAGGAAGGGCCAGAATGCGCTTCCGACACTGCCCTACCACTAAAGGTGACCAGGTTATTACAGCCATCCATCTTGCACTGCAACCCATCTCCCTGTGCGATCACAGCCGTCCATCTCACAGCTGCTCGCCTCACAGCCGTCCATCTTATCTTACAGTCCATCTCACCGTGAGCTGAGAGCAGTGACCACATCCGCCATGGCAACGGCCTCGCTCTCCTTCTCCCGGTAAAACGCCCGCTCCCTGCCCGCCTCCGCCTCCGTCTCCATCTCCTCCTCCGCCCCCCGCTCACCCTTCTCCCCAGCACTGCTGGCGGCAGCAGGGCCAGTGGTGGCAGCAGTGGGCTGGTATCGCGAGAGCGAGTACACACGCAAGTTGAGGTACGCCATGCGCGGCCGCCTGGGGACTGCCTGCTCGCGCTGCTCTGCTGCCTGCCCTCCTGACCTCCCACTCTCGCCTCTGCCATCCACCACACTGCCACCGGCCCTGCCACCCTCACCACCATGCTCACCCACGGTGTCAGCCCACACGGGCGCAGCAGCAATGGCCTGGAAGGCGGGCACGGCGGACCAGTCCACCACGAGCGCCCATTGCGGGGCGAACCCAGCCACTCTGCGCGCCACCTCCGCTCCCCCCGCCCCCCCCTCGCTCGCCAGCCGGTGCGCCCACTGCTGCCAGCAGCAGCGCCAGTCCAGGCGCCCCCACGCGCTGACCGGCACCTCCATCACGCACTGCTCCACCTGCAACGGTTCCTCCTCCTCCACCACCCCCTGCTGCGCCTCCGCCATGGTGCTGCCTCCACGCGGGGGAGAGGGCGCCGAGCGAGGTTGCCGCATCCTCACAACAATAGGCGCGTTGGAGGGTGAGGAGGGCTCAGGAGGACAGGCGGAGGTATTGGCAGGAGGGAGTGGGGTGGTGCGCGCGGGGGGAGCTGCACTGCAGGGGAAGGGTAGCGGGAGGTGCGAGATGGGGAGAGGGGAGCATTGGTGGGGCAGAAGGTGAGCGGGGAAGGGTAGAAGGTGAGCGGGGATGGGTTTTGTGAAACAAGGCAAGGAAGGGCAGTGAGTGGTAGCGAGGCAAGCAAGCAGGGCAGCACAGTACGAGGGGTGGAAATGGGGCCAAGCGCGCATTATTCAAGTAGAAATCCCTCCCCTCGACGCCCTACCCCCGCCTCATCGCCATCTGCCCATTTCACCCCTCTCCTCATTTCACCCCTCTCCTCATTTCACCCCCTCTCGAACCTCCTCTCCTCCCCTCCCCAACCCCACCCCCCCTCTTCCCGCCTCCTCCCCCCTCCCCCCCCAACCTGACGACCATCACGGAGTGGCCGTGAGCGACGAGCGAGCGCACGAGCGACTGCGAGTAGACGCCGTTGCCGCTGAACGTGCCCGCGCGGTACTCCAGAGATACCAGCACCACCCGCAACCCCTCCTTCGCTCCGCCATTGCCGCTCCCCGCCGCCCTGCTTTCCGACACTACGGCGGCCTCCCGCGCAAAATGCGCGCCGGGTAAGTTCCCGCCCTGCGCGCCTTCTTCTGCTGCCGGCGGCATGTCCCCCGGCACCGCTCGGAGGTTCCGCTCGCGTACGAGTTCAGAACAGTTATTCTGGCGGCGGAAAGCGACTAGGAGAAACACATCGGAACGTGTACCTGTTTGTCAAACAGGATGCCATCTACTAGCTTGATGTTTGATAGCCATTGCTGGGGAATTTTTCGCGATGCCTGGGATTGGCGTGTTGCAATACCCACTTAGGGCGCGTGTCTTCTGAAATTTACTGCATAGTTCGTGTTTCTACAGCGTGTCATTTGCAGGTTCATTTCGACATCCCACGCGGCATCATTCCCAAACCCAGGTTTCCCACCACAATCGAACTCGCCGTTTCCCAAAGCGCGCAAGCACTGTACACAGCCAATTGCGTAAAAAGGGTTCGGTACATTTTTTTTTCTGGGTATAGATTTTCGGGTTTTTGCAAAACATTTGGGAATGAATCTAAGCGTGACTCGACATTTTCGCGTAGCACCCTACGTAACAGATTTAGAAACATTGTTACCATTGTTACATTGTTGTTCCGGTTTTGGAATAAAATCGTTGAAACATTGTTTTCGTACGCCAAATCAAGTTTGCTAACAACGGATCACTTCGCAGCGAGGCGGTGATACTGTAGCTCAGTGGTTACCGAATCGATGTAACAGTAACACTTTCCTTTAGTCGGTGTTACATCAGTAACATTGTTACCATAATGCACTACAATGTATGTAACAACTTCAGAGTTACATTCATTTGGTAACCTACCAGAATATATTCAAAACTCGTAACATTTCAAATTATAAATTACAGCAATCCGTACAAATCTAAATTTGTTCTGGGTACCTAAATCGTGCCAATTAATGGGGGCCATTTTCAGAATAATGAATTTATTGGCACATTTAGGCATTAGCTGCAATTAATAAAAACCTGCAATAATAAAACTGCATTGCACACAAAATCTAGCAGTCAAGATTCATCATCAAAATCCTCATCTACCACCTCATCCTTATCAAACTCATCCTCTGCATCCTCATCTCCCAGGACATCCGCATCTAGAGCCTCCAGAGGGATAGCCACCCACTGCGCGATATATATCCGCCCTATGCCTATGAACTAACCCTCAGTCCGGCCCATGCTGTTGATATAGCGCTGCACAATGCGCGCATGCCTGGAGATGGCGAGAGGATCACCAGAGCGTCCAAGCTGAAGCTTGTTGCAAGTGGGGTGACGTAGCTTAAAACGAACTTGCACACAAGGGACAACACAACACAGGCCTATAAGATCGCACATACAATAGAAACATATGCATTAACAGATGCAATAAGACTCACGACTGCCAGAATGAGTAGGAGCTTAGACGCATAGATCCCGAGTGGGCGGTCTAGGTCATTCTCTGTCACAAACTGGCGCGCACACGCCATGAAGGCTGGGCTGGAAAAAGGGTGGCCGTTAAGCAGGTGCCATTCTATGTCCTTCAGCCCAGTGACAGAACCAGAAAGCAAAGAACGGCAACAATGGCAACAAGAACGGGCAAAGAATGGGCAAAGAACGAGTAAGTACAGGTTGCTTTATTATGACAGGGTTTAAGCTTCACGACAGTAATGTTGAGTTGCTGCAAACAATAAGAACAAGAGTACACAGAGCTAAGCGCCGGTAAACACTAACTGCTGCCGTACACACCCACGTAAGCGTGGCACCGGGCGGCGAAATCGTCCGGCTCCTCAGCTCGTATGGTGCCGTTTGGTGCATGCTTAATCCCGAACAGCCGCGCGCCTCGTATCAACCGCAAGCTCTTCCGGCAGCCTCCGTAGATCTTGCCACTGCGGTTGTTAAACCGCTTCTCCGTCTTTTTGACGATGTCCTTGTCTTTCATGTGCGCCACCAGCCTCGTAGCCTCGTTCCTGCCTGCCGTGAAACCTGCATGTGATGTGTGAAGTAAAAAAACGGGCGTGATTCAGTAACTCAAATCGCAACAATAGCAACAAGAATACAAATCGGCTGCTTGCCGACTTGGCGTTCAACAACATCCCTCCTCTTCGGCGACATGTTGATATGGTCGCCGTCGAAGAGGAAATCTTTGACGGTTTCTGACATCATTCTCTGCAATAGCAACAGAAAGCACCCATCAGTTATAAATCATAGTCAACAGAGAACGAAAGCGGTATGAAATAAACTCACCTCAAAATCTAGGTTAACAATCTTCTACAGGAGCACAGCATCGGCGAGAGATCCGGCGATGCCAAGAGCCTTCAGGATCTGCACGTCCTTGGTCTTGCAGTCCGTCTGCAGCAACTCAACGCAGTCTCGCAAGCAATTGCACCCTGCGCACGAAGGCTCTGATTGACCGGGTTTGGGCGCGATTCGGGATGAAACTTTGTCAGAACTAACAGACAGAAACAAGAATGAAGAAATGAGGGGTTGCACTAGCAGCAGTTGGCATACATATAGGAAACCCTAATTGGGTTGTACTCGCTATAGAGTACCCCACTGCAGGCTAGACAATAATAACATTCTGACACACCCCCATAGCCAAAGTGGGGTGTAATCAGCACAATGAGCAGACATAGTAATAGTTCACAATTATAAGCAAAGCTAGAGGCGATCACCGAGGGCAAGTGAGGAGGAGGAGGAATTGTGAAGGGAGAGAAGATGGGAGACGACGGCTGAAGCTGCAGACACACGGGCAACAGGAGGACTGGCACAGTGGCTACCGAGCGCACGAGGGCACCGGACTACGGGAGTATCTGGCTCCGCGGCTACGACGAGCGGCAGGAGCAACGGACCCACAGGCGACTGGCACAGCAAGGCTCTCTGGGCTACCGAGAGCACGACGGCTCCGGACTACAGGCGCTGCACACGACACGACGGCGGCCTCCTCTCAGCCTCCCCAAACAGTCCCACCTCCTTTCCACACACCCCCTGCTGCACCCCTAGCTCCACTCCCACGTCACCCCCCTTAAACCCTAAACCCTCGGCTCCCACACACCCACCCCCCTCAGCGGCAGCTGCAGCAGTGGGAGACGGAGGAGGAGGAGGAGCTGCAGGTTACCCACACCGGTCACCCCCATGCCCGCCACCCCCAAACCCTAACGCAGGCAGGAGCGCGGGAAACAGCAGGGGCGGTTCACGGAGGGAAAGAGAGGCGGCGGGGTGTCTCCTGGGCGCCACGAAGAAGCAGGGCGCGGGCCCCCCGAGGGCGCCACGGCGGGTGACGGGAGGGGGGCCGCGCACGGGCCCCCGAGGGCGGCTCGACGGGCGACGGGAGGGGCCGCGCGCGGGCCCCCAAGGCGCCGCGACGAGGCGACGGGAGGGGGCGGCGCGCGGGCCCCCAAGGTGCCGCGACGAGGCGACGGGAGGGGGCGGCGCGCGGGCCCCCAAGGTGCCGCGACGAGGCGACGGGAGGGGGCGATGCGCGGGCCCCCAAGATGCCGCGACGAGGCGATGGGAGGGGGGGGGACGCGCGGGCCCCCAAGGCGCCGCGACGAGGCAACGGGAGGGGCCGGCGCGCGGGCCCCCAGGGCGCCGCGACGAGGCGACGGGAGGAGGACGACGGGGGGCAGCGCGCAGGTCCCCGGGGGCGCCACGACGGGCAGGAAACCGCCGCGCGCCTCGGGGCGCACGGCGGGCAGAAAACCGCCGTACGCCCCGAGCGCACGGCAGGAAGAGGACGGCGCGCGCCCGAGGCGCGCGAGAAGCAGAACAGCAGCGGAAGCAGTTAGGTGGCGGGCCCACCCACAGGATCGACCCAAGGGGGTCGACCTGCTCTGATAGCATGTCAGAACTAGCAGACAGAAACAAGAATGAAGAAAGGAGGGGTTGCACTAGCAGCAGTTGGCATACATATAGGAAACCCTAATTGGGTTGTACTCGCTATAGAGTACCCCACTGCAGGCTAGACAATAATAACATTCTGACAAACTTATCGACCTCTGGACTGGGATTAATTCCCGCCTGCTTCATAGTACGGGCATAGACGGTGAGACCGGCATGGCACGGAAGAACGGAGGTAAGTAATCGAAATAGTTTAGCACACGAACATAATGCGCGTCAAAGCTTACCACGTTGGCCGTTCCCCTGGAGCGGTTACGCAATTACGTCCTTGAAGAGCTCGGGCTCTTCTTGCTCCTCTGCATCCGCAGTGGCAGCAGCTACACCCACCTTGTCAGCACTCGGCCGCATCAGGAGTTGGATTGCCAGCGGCAGGAGCGGGATCGGCAGTGGCAGGAGCAGGATCGGCTGCGGCAGGCGCATGATCGGCAGTGGTAGTCGGTGATGCGGCGGGAGCAGACGACTTTCCCTCGGCCGCAACACGTTTGACACCGGTGGCTCGCTCGCCTTGTCGCTTGGTGCCGCGTTTGCCAGTTTGCGTGCCAGTCATGGCAGCGTCAAGCGAATCACCGTCTGGAAAAACAAGGAACAGGGTAGTTAAAACACACAACAGTTGATACAACCAAATAACTTCAAATGCAAAAACCAGAGAGAGCGCCTACCTTTGTTGGCGGGGAAAAAGGCATGATTGTCCTTGCTCTTGCGCGGAATGGAAGTACGTAACGGTTCCGCCATCTGCATACTAGCGGGAATGTTGAAAGAACAAGAACGGCCCATAATTAGCTTATGAAAGCTATTAGTACTAGATAGCTAGTGCTTGACTAGATGATGGCAACACTCCAGCAAAACTCCTATTTATAGGACATGTTTGTAGGAGCGACGCCTGGGAGAACATCCCTTACCTTGCCTACGCGATGATATACGGTGGGGGCCTGCTTGGTGCCCCAATTGATGCCAATAACGATGTGTGGCGGTAACGAGGGGACGAATGAGGGAGTTGGCAGTGGTGGAAGGGGGGTGTGTTTGAAATTTGAACTTTCAAACTTCAGTTTGAACTGTCGAGGGGGATCGCAGAGGGGGCGTTGAGGAGGTGGAGGAGGTTGGGATGGAGGGGAAGAACTTGAACGTGCACCACTTTGTGGGTACTGGGTGGTGTGGTGCACGTCCGGTCGACGTCCCCGCTGGGCTGCCTGCCAAGTTCGGCAGATCTACAGTTTTAGCCACAGCTGAATCGGGCGCCGTAAACAACCATTCTTTCTGCCGCGTCAGCGTGGTCGATGCCAACCATGCCTCCTGAAGTTGCGCCAGTAAGGCACAACCTCGGACATTATCAGGACTTTGCGTGTTGTGTAGGTGTAATCCCGGGCTCGATATAAAGTACTGAAACAACACCCATTGAAGCAGCACCCATGTTGCACTGTAACTGCAATTTCCCACTAACAATAAAGCACCTTCTCTCACTATTGAATCAAGCTCATGCATACCAATATTTACTAATTAAGATACAGTGGTATAGTACAACGCAATTGTGTGCGGTGCCTTCAAGTGTAACAACAAAACGATGGAAATTGAGCTGACCTATTATGACGGTAAGGTCACGAAGACCCTAGACTCAGTGTTGCGTCACGTTATCTGTGAAGTTGGGCTCGAAATGTATGTGAAAGAGCTCAAACTGGCTCTAGTAGTTAGAATTAGGTTACCCTAACTGGACGTGGACAACATTTGAGTTTTAACACAAAACATGTTGCCAACGGGCCTATCCTTGCACAGATTCCTGCCATCCTATGCACAAACAAGCGCCACGTACTGCGTAGTTGGAAGAACGAGCTCAAACCAGTTTCATTTGCAAGATATTAAAGCACAGTATACATTTGACACTCACTGTTTGAGGCTCTACAGTACCTAGGGCGACTTCGCCACAACGAAAGAAAAAAAGATTGGTGAGAGGGCTTGCGAAAATTCGAGACGGGGGTGCTTCGAGGGAACTAGGGTTGGGGGGTCACAAAACCAAAGTTCCTCCCGTCACCAAACTACAAAGATACGCTCAAACACTTAGCGATAGAATCAGCGACTATTTACTACAAATTCCCGCGGTATAGCTAACCAAGTTGGGCTAGAAGCTGCTATACCGACAACGCGACTTCTCACATAGTCGCGCGTGAGTAACTACAGATGTACAGGTTAGGCTGCGCCGTGAAAACGACCATTGATCGAACCCACCATCTCCCTTTCAGTAGTCCCGCCGCTTTGCATTCGGACTGCCGCCGCGTGGCATTCGTCGAGCCCGCTGTACATGCAGCGCGCCCGTCGTAACCTATTTCATAAGCAACACGGCGAGTTGCATTCGGCGGGATTGCCGTAATGCAATATTTGCATTCAAAATCGAAGCATAAGATAAGACAGCCGTCTGCCCACCTTCCTGCCCCGCCGCGTTGCCCTCGGCGGGCTCGCCGCGTTCCATGCGTTGTCCAGGCCGGCGGGCTTAGCGCATCACTCGCTTAGCGCGTCTCCCGCTAAGCGAGTCTCCCGCTTAGCGAGTAACGCGCTTAGCGCTGTCAGAATGAGAGAAGTGTAGAAAGGAGAAAGACGAAAGAGGGATTTCACTAGCAGCAGTTGGGGTACATATAGCAAACCCTAACTGGGTTGTACTCGCTATAGAGCACCCCACTACAGGCTAGATAATAACATTCTGACACACCCCCATAGCCAAAGTGGGGTGTAATCAGCACAATGACCAGGCATAGCAATAGTTCACAATAATAAGCAAAGCTAGAGGTGATCACAGAGGGCAAGTGAGGAGGAGGAGGAACTGTGAAGGGAGAGAAGATTGGAGACGACGACTGAAGCTGCAGACACACGGGCAACAGGAGCGCGCACACAGTGGCTACCAGGGTAGCAGCCCCGGACTACTGGAGTAACTGGCTCGGCGGCTACGAGGAGCGGCAAGAGCAACGGACCCACGGGCGACAGGCACAGCAGGCTCTCTGGGCTACCGAGACGCGCGAGGGCATCCGGACTACTGGTGCTACTGGTGCTGACGGCTAC